AATTGATATTTCTAATCTATTTTGATTGGTATTTCTTTTCTTAAATCATGTAATTCTAAAGGCAATCACATTTTTCTGCTACATTTTTATTCCGTTTGATTCTAAGCTTTTCAACTTCTCAGTTTAGTTCTTTTGTTGCCAGAGAATTATTATTATTACATTTAAACAGCAAACACACAATATCATGGAATTAGATAAATAGATGTCATCCTATAATTTCAGAAATTTTTACTTTACATTTTTGTGAGAAATGAGTTCTGTTTGCGATCAAATTACTTTTTTTATTTATCACATATATATATTGTAGTATATGCTATCTGTAACGAATTAGTGGTACAACTAATTACCTAACAACCTGTGTGTTCCTCTACTTAGCACTTGTTGACACAAATTATACTAGTTTCAAGATATTGAGACAACGAAATTCTATAAAGGAAAACTAACGTAATTGTGTTTTCTTTTTCTTGATGGAATTCAACTTGTTAGATTTTTTTCTAACAATTTCCGAACACTCAACAGAATCTGCACGATGCGAAGCCGAAGATCGTGGCATCGAATCTGGCGCTCGACAGTAACCATGCCGTGGTGGTCGACATAAAGGAAGAACTAACGTACATGAGCAGTAACGAGGACTTGAAGAAGGGTCAGAATGAATACATCTTGAAGAGGATACCTGCCGGTGCGGAGGCGACAGTCGTCCTCGTCGGCGCCGTCGACTTTTTGGACCAGCCGACAATAGCTTTTGTGCGATTGGCCGAAGGTGTGTTTATACCATCCATCACGGAAGTCAAGATACCAGTCAGATTCGTCTTTATTCTATTGGGGCCGAGAAACGCTGATCTGGATTATCACGAGATCGGTCGATCGATCTCCACTTTAATGGCGAACACATCGTTCCACAAAATCGCTTATAAAGCCAACGAAAGACGAGAGCTGCTGTCGGCGATCAATGAGTTCCTAGATGATTCGATCGTACTACCACCGGGTGACTGGGAGAGACAGGCGTTATTGCCATTTGATGAACTCAAGGCGAAGAGCGAGGCCATCAGAAAGAGGAAAGCGAAGGCGCTCGAGGAGAAGAGCAAGCCGGTGCAAAGCGAGGCGGCCGTGAAGAAAGGTAATTGTTCAAACTTGTTTCGACGAAATGTTGAAATGTTTATTTGTCAAAGCAATAAAATTCATCGTATTTTTTGCATTGTCCTTAATTAATCGTTATCACCTGTGACGAAGCTCTTTTAGCTGGCGAAGAGGAGAAAAAGCCACCGGAGGATAGCGACGATCCACTGCGACGCACCAGACGACTGTTCGGCGGCCTCATCAATGACATCAAGCGTCGCTACCCTTTCTATTTGTCCGACCTCAAGGATGGTCTAAACTCATCTTGTCTCGCGGCGGCTATCTTTATGTACTTCGCCGCGCTGTGCACCGCCATCACTTTCGGCGGTCTAATGAGCGACAAGACGCAAAACTTGATCGGCATTTCCGAGACCCTAATCTCGGGCTCATGGACGGGCGTGGTGATGGCGTTGTTCGCTACTCAGCCGCTGGTGATCATCGGCACGACCGGTCCGCTATTGCTCTTCGACGAGAGTCTGTACAACTTTTGTTTGGCGAACGAGCTCGAGTTCCTCACCATACGGGTGTACGTCGGCATATGGATGGGGATCATCGCCGTGGTGATCGCGTGCGTCGAAGGTTCCGTCCTTGTGCGGCTTTTCACGCGCTTCACCGAGGAGATCTTCACCGGACTGATCTCCATCCTTTACATCGTCGAGACGTTCATCAAGCTTTACAACTACTTTGTCCGTAATCCACTTCTGCACGAGTACAGCTTCGGACCGGATGCCAATGACACCACCTATCCACTCTACGTTACCGAGATGAGGGTCAGATCGCTGTGGAACGGAACCGAGGAGAATCTAATTTTGGAATATCCGCGCGAGTTGATACCGAGCCGCGACATTGCCAAATTACCCGTCAACCAGCCCAATACAGCTCTGATGTGTACTATCCTTTGCCTCGGCACCTTCCTTGGCGCTTATTACCTGAGGATTTTTCGCAACAGCCATTATCTGGGTCGTAGTGCTCGACGAGCGTTTGGAGACTTTGGCGTGCCCATCAGCATAATTGTCTTTGTTCTAATCGATTATCTGGCTACGGTGAAGACGGAGAAATTGCTGGTTCCCGAAGGACTCTCCCCGTCTGTACCCGGCAGAAATTGGTTCGTGTCTCCCGCTGGTTCCGAAAAACCTGTTCCCATCTGGATGGCGCTAGCTTCTGTAATACCGGCTCTGCTGGTTTACATTTTGGTATTTATGGAGACTCAAATATCGGAGTAAGTAGTGCTTAAATTCAGTCGGCTTTCAGCAACGTATGCTCTTGACTAATCACTCGATCGCCTTGTAGATTGATCATCGACAAGAAGGAACGCAAGCTGCGAAAGGGCAACGGTTACCACATGGACATCGTAGTGGTCTGTCTGATGAACATGGGATGTGGACTGATGGGCGCGCCCTGGTGTTGTGCCGCATCGGTGCGCTCCCTCACGCACGTGTCCGCCGTGACCGTGATGTCGCGGACTCACGCGCCCGGCGATAAGGCGCACATTGTCGAGGTGAAGGAGCAACGGGTGAGCGCCCTCCTCGTCGCGATACTGATAGGCGTGAGCGTGCTGATGGCGCCGCTGCTGCGTCGAGTACCGATGTCCGTCCTGCTGGGTGTCTTCCTCTACATGGGCATCTCGTCGACGAACGGTGTACAGCTGTTCGATCGCATCAAACTGTTCTTTATGCCGGTCAAGCATCACGGCACGGCAAAGTACGTGCGCCGCGTGCAAACCTATAAAATGCACATCTTCACCTCCATACAGATTCTGTGCCTGACGGTGCTGTGGATCGTTAAGAGCACCAGAGCCGCCTTGGCTCTGCCATTCTTCCTTATTCTGATGATACCGCTGCGCTCACAGATGCGCCACTATTTCACCGCCGCGGAGTTACGCGCTCTTGATAGTAAAGGTTCCGAGCATGAAGTCGAGGACGAGTTGGACTTTTACGAGGAGGCTCCGCTACCTGGTTAGACTGTGCCTTAATCGACTATTCGATATCACTATATATTTCTCTCTCTCTCTCTCACATGTTTTTTTCTGAATTGTCTCGTACCTTCCGAAACTGTTTAACTCGTATACCTGTCCTGCATCAGGGTCTCCTAAAGTGTCTAGTGACAGTCCGAGAGTACAGAGTTCTATTTTCATCAGATTGAAGTATAAAACGTATTTTCTGGGTCCATTGTTAGAAAATTGATAAGCGGTGTAATGTTTAGATAGAGATAAGGTGTGCACATAGGGAGGATTGTTAACGGTCGATCAGACTGTTGGATTTCACGATTTTCGGTTACACAAATGTTTCACTCCATCAGTTTTTATTTGCATCTAGTTGTATTTCGTTTTAGGCCTTGTTTCTACGGCTATGTGTTTTCAATTAGATCGATTTATAATAATGTTTCATGAATCTCTTACGGATTCTCATTTGCAAGAATTTATCAATAATTTTACGAATCTCTAAAGTTTAAATTGATAAAGTTTTGTTTTCGCATAGTTTCAATGAGTTTGAATGTAGTGTGTCGTCGATTTTCTTATTGATTTTTACAAAATTTTGGACGCGCGGTTATTCAATTCTTTTCTTTCGTAATCACATTATTCCGGCCGTATTTGTTTCAACTACTGTTTTATCGGAGAGGCTAAATAGCCCAATTGTACATTTTTAAATAATTGTATTATTCGCACAGCCTAATGAATGCTTAAGATACGTTTGCGTTCTTGAAATTAAATAGGAAAGCAGTGCCTCTGAGTGCCTCAAGTTTGCGCTTGACGATATATATAATGCTCAGGAAAGTTCAGCTAATGGCACAGCTTAAAGATAGTGCCAAAATCGAAATGTTACGAGGATGTTACAACAACGCTTGGCTAATGGTGATTGGAAAGATAACCGTTTCACCGATCCTTCCTTTTTCTCTTCTTCCTATTGAAAGTAATTTATGAATTCCAAATTTTTGGATCATGCGTGCTAGTCACGTTTTAGAAAATTTCTTTTTTACAATTATTTACACGTAGATTTTTAAATTTTTGCGAGAATTCTATCAAACGTTTCAATCCCATGAATTATTATATATTTAATAAATCTATATTATCTATATAATCCTGGAGACTTGAGATCCAGGAAAAGTTACATTAACTTTTAGAGGGCAGAGGTTTTTTTAAGAAACCATGAAGATTCACTCTGTACAATTGTATTCGGTTGTTCGGCAAATTTTTTAGTTTTTTCCCCCGTAAGAATAAAATTGAAAGAAATGGAAAAACCGTACAATGTTTCGCGCAGCCCTCTAATGAGTAATCTCTGTTTTCGTAGACTTTTCCATCTACATATTCTTAAAATTATAATCAATTGTAATCCCTTTTATGAGAGATTCCGACGCCTCTCTTAATACATACATATACACACATTTTTAAATTTTCATAGGGACTTACATACGCATATTATTACGAGGATCAAAAAGTAAAGAGACATTTAAGAAATCAAACTCTTTAAAGAAGTATTTTTCCTCACGCGCACATGAATACTTGTATACACATAAATTCTTCATCTTCTTTACTTGCACAAGTACTTATACATTCGCGCGGATACTTAAACAGAATTCTTACCATATGCACACATATATATACACACCTATTTTTTATATCTACAGACATGTCCCCATAGATTTCATAAATCTTCACGTGGATTAATTCTTCGATTTTGCAATGATTATTGAAATCCTGCAGGTCGATACAAGGTGCATTGCAAAGTATATTTACTGAATTTGTCCTGCGAATTCTATCGTATAGGATTCGTGCACGCATTTATTCCTAAAATACGATGGTTTTAATTTACTCTTACGGTTTGAAACCGAACAGACGAGGTTCGCGCGGACGCTATGAGTAAGACCAAGCGATCGATGATGCTATAATTAGAGTGGTTCCGAACTATAGTAAGGGTACATAAGGCTGGTGAAAGAGGCAGAGTTATAGTTAACCAAATAAACTATTTTCGAACAAATAGAGCATATATATAGATATATATACACATATATGTATATATATAAAGAGAATATACTGTATTTTCATTCATTAGAGTATTTTACTAAACTTCCGTAAAGTCGTTTCTGCTTATTACATTTATCGATTGTTAATTAATCAATAGTAGGCATGTGTATATATACATATACTTGTGGAGGCGATACTTAATCATTGTGATAGCAAACAGAATCGCTCGCAGAAACAAAAATTGTACTTACGAGCACTTAATGTTAGAGTAATGAATTTGTAACGCAGATCCTAATTAGCGTTTAAACGTTATCAATCCATAGAAAATTATCGATATACACACATATACACCCACATGCGTTACGGTACCATTGATATTACATTACCGAAGCAAATTGTTATGCAGCGATAGGGCGATTGTAAATAATCTAGTTAACATACAGTATTAAAAAATAAAAAAAAAGAAGTAATAATTAGAAATAGGTTCTCAATAGCTGATTTACGCCTTAAATTAGTGATCGAGGAAATAAAGGATATTTTAACTGATCCGCCGTTTATTATATTATTCTACCCCAATTTTTCATTGTTATTTTATAATTGAAGTTTCGAAACTCAAAATTATATTGAGAGACAGCTCGTATAGCGCATCCACCAACAATCTATCCATAATATATTCATCATTCATTCATCGTCCTTGGATGTGTTTATATACAGAGAACGAAGAATTTTAATGGAAGTGATATGTTTTTCCACCTAAATGATATAACGGAAATTACGCGAATTTAAATGTTAAAAAAAACCTTATATTCATTTTTACACGTAATAATTATTATGGCCAATATAATAATCACATAAATGGCTTCACCACGAAGATTAGTGCCCGCGCTTAAACAATTGTCACCTCGGCCACTCGAAAATGTATCGAATATCAGGTGAGCACATAAATATCTTATTTATTTGAGCCAAAAATTATAGACGTGAGTAATAATTTAGCAGAGCATCAAGTCCAAAAACTCCAAATAACATTCACAAAAGAAAAGAATACGGAAATCTGTTGTCGCCGTTTAATATTGATACACCAAATCGAGTCAGAATACTAAAGGACGGGCTGACAAGGAAACATCATCCTGTCCTAGGCGCAGGTGCTTTCGGTACCGTGTATAAGGCGATTTACAAAGGTATTTTATAATGTACATTAATTTTTATCGACAAACTTGATTGTTGAATATATCGAGAAAGAGCAAAAAGAAAGTGTTCAAGTTTATTTTATTATTATATAATTATAATATATATTATAATAATAAGGGAACGAAGTAGCAGCTAAAGTGATTCAACACAAACAAGACGACTGTGAAATAATAAACTCTGAGAAACACGCGGCCGCTTTACATCACGCAAATATCATAAAGATATTGAATATAGAACAAGGCAACAGTTTAGCAATGATAACAATGGAATTATGCGGAATATCGTTGCAAGATAGACTGCAGGAATCGGCACTGTCGAGAGAAAAACGTGTTTCCATTTGGCGAGACATCGCCCATGCGCTTCAATTTTGCCACAATTCCGGCGTGATACACGCGGATGTTACAGCGACCAATATTTTAGTAGCTGCCGATGGTCAAGCTAAACTCACCGATTTTGGTAGCTCTGTATTAATCAACAAGCCGCACATTGCAATCAAACCGCGAGTAAAACCCGTTAAATTTTTACTAAAAAATAGCTTAAGTATTCTTAAGAATACTTAAAAATCTCTAAATTTCCTAATTTTAGGGCACACCGGGTTACGCATCGCCAGAAGTGCTCAAAGGAAATGTACCTACATTTGCCGCTGACATTTATTCACTAGGAATCGTAGCCTGGCAAATGCTATCTCGAAAAGTGCCTTTCCACGGATTGCATGTTCACACCATCATATATATCTCTGCAAAAGGAACACGTCCTGATGATGAAGCTCTGGATGATGAGTATGACGGAAGATACAAAGAGTTGTTCAGAGCAGCGTGGTCGCAAAATATTGCGGATAGGCCTCCGATGAATGAAATAATCCATAGACTCAGTTTTTTCATCGATTGTTGATCTTTATTCAGTCAAAACTGAACTTAAGCATACAGTATTATTTGCAATACTTAGTCAGATTACTGTTTACACCTTATATAGTTGTAGTCTTGAGAGAATAAGAATAAGTGTAGTGTACTTGAAATAATGATTCAATAGTTAATTTTATGTATCTGGCATCTCGCCGCCAGGTACCAGCTGTAACAGAACAAACAAATTATAACAATGTTTTGTCATGCCAAAAAACTCAGAATAACAAAATATTTTAGCAAATTTAGTTGAATACATTAATGTGCACTGATGCATATTAAAGTTTGTTGTAAATTTTAGTCTTTAATTGTGAAAACATATTATAACATGAAATATTTTGACATGTCTGATATATATAGTGAAAATAATTATAAATTTAGTATCAGATTTCAATCTTGATCAGATTTAATCAATATGTAGCAATGCAAATTAATGTAACCAATCAAATTTGCTATTAAATAAAAATGATAATGACCATAGTAATGTTACTGCCATTGAGAAGAATCTGATCCAACTTTGTAACTCTGCGGCCTTCAGGAGTTGCTTCACTTTCTGTTACATCTTCCAATAACATGTTCACAAAATCATCGAAACCTTGCAGAGTTCCTACGATTTCCTTGTCATTTTTCATGATAATGTGTATCCGAGAACCAATGCACTTGTCGACTAATTCTATACACATAGTTTCACATAATATATCTGTTTATTCTTGGATTGAGGTTAGAAATACTAATGTTATTAAATATAGAATATAAATTGTTATTATTTTACCTAAAGGCAACAACGTAGACGGATTTGTGCTGACCGAAGTAGCCATGGCGATTTATATACTGAATGATCCAGTGATTCGCAAAAATACAAACAACCTTTACTAATATAACTGATCACAACAATCGCCAACTCGCCATCACTGTCGTGCGTAATGACGTCAGATTTGAGACTTGCACACCGCAAAAGAACATAATACTAATATATATTATACATATAATATAACATATTATAT